TGGTTATGGTAAAACACCACTCATTAGGACCTGATGAACCAGAACTCCTAGTTAACTGGATTTTTTTCTGCTGTAGGACGAGGCAGATGATTAGGAATCAAATGGATGGAAGGATCATTCTGAGACTCAGGGTTTTGTTCTGCAGTTTTAGGAAATAACCCAGCAGTAGCACCTACACACAGTACGTTGCTTCTATCAGGTGCTTCATAAATGTTGAATTGAAGCCACCAAGATTTGCTGTTTAAGTCGTCGATTCAAGTAGCTGAATTTTCTGCTTCACCATGCTTGCTGTCTGGTTTTGTGTTTTCAAATGCCCTGAGGCCTAGTTTTCACAGAAGCAATGCTAATGGTGCCCAGCCATAAAGGCACCACCCAAGAGTTCAGTTAATTACTAGGTTTTTCAGAAGTGTGTGAGAACAGTTCTTCTACATTGCACAGATGAACTAGGCTGAAACAGGTGAACCTGTTTGCAACAAAGGAATAACTTGGGAAGCTGTAACTTCCAAAGGAGTAGCTAGGCAGAAGTTGACTTGAGATGCAGTCTGCCATTGGCCGTTCATTTATAAATCATCTCCTGCTATTTTGAAAACTCATCGAAGTCCTGTCAGGGCAAAAGTCAAAAGGACTGTTGATGGCCCAGGATGAAGTGGATGACCTTGGCATCTTTGATGTCTGACCAAGCTCTAAGCCCTCCACAGGGGCTGCTTCAGCCGCCTTCATGGCTCCTGGACCAAATTGTTCTCATTCACTTATTCTGCTGGGGGAAGTGAAGTGTTCGTTAACTAACCTTACAGGTTTGAGGCCCATCCGCTAGGGATGGTTTACCGGGGTTTGGCCTCTGTACCTGCCCCAGCTTCTTGGAGCCACAGGTGAGAGTTGGGTGAAGGTAGATGAGCAGCCCTCACAGCAGAGGTGCATGCTGGTCCTCCCTGAACACCTGCTACACTCCACTAGCTTTACTATACTCTATTCGATGGGAGAAGAGGGTACTGCATTGTATTTTAAGACTCTTATTCGACCCTGTTAATCACTTTGTCTTTTCCTTTCTTTTCCTAGAAGGTTCTAAAGTTGGTTTTGACTTGAGCGATGCCTTGAATGATGAAAATGATAGATTCAATGGTGGTGGAGGCAGGCCCAATCTAAAACCTGGTGAAGGTAAGTGGGTTCATTGTATCTCTATAGGTTTGTCTCTGTTTGAAACCACTGTCTAATCCAGCAACATCCAAATTTACTTCTTTTTTGATAAACCTAATGATAAATCTGATTTGGCCAGGGGCAAGTGGGGTGCCTTGGCAGTGAAAAATAAGTGGGATCTTCAATGATTTTTACATGGATAATGAAGAATGAGCATGCTTCAAACCTTTCTTTCTTTGAAAATATGCTGTGTTATTATCTGCAAGGTTGAGAGACTTTTTAAATCTTTTTGTGACCCATATTCTTATGTATTTGAATGTATCTTTAAAAACAAGTCTAATATAATATGTAGGAAACATTTCATATTCACATTCAGGAGTAAAGATGGAAAGATAGCATAATTGTGCCATTTAATTAAAAGTCTGTTAAGTACCCTCACAAATAGTCAATTTGTCAAGTTGTCATTAAGCATTTGTGCTTAATGGGGGGTACCCTGGGGATTCCCAGAGAAGTGAACTGGTCCCTGGCCTTGAGTAGCTGACAGGCTGTTGGGTGAGACAACAGGCAAATATATATATATAAATGAGCTATGCATATATACATGCATACATACTCTTGGATTATGTTTTTCAAAGCCAAATCTAAGATTTTTGCAAAACTGTATAGAGACACAGACACATTCATACATGTATACATGTACACATGTTAAACACATACAGAAACAGATACAGTCTGAGGTATTCTTGTCTCCATAACGGACATACTAATCTGCCAAAAATGAATGATTTACTAAACACAGAATCTTTTAAAATATGCTTAAAAATCATGTTTTTTTTAAGTAGTAGTAGATCATATCATAAGAATACCTAACAGTATTAATAGCTCTTTAAGGTTCATGCAGCACTTTACAAATATGTTCTTGTTTGAGGCACACAACAACCCTGGGAGATAGGTGCTATTACTGTTGTCATTTTATACATGAGAAAGTGGAAGGCACAGAGAGGACAAGTGGCGGTCACACAGCTAGGAAGGATTTCAGGCTATATTTCTACTCAAGTTTTTCTGACTCCCAAGTCCAAATCTCCACCCTCTGTACCACCTTGCTGCAAGATTACTGTTGTTAGCCCTCCTCAACTCAGTGGAGCCTTCCTGCACGTAAGAGTGCACAGACTTCTAATCCTCATAGTGAAGGCAAGGTGGTCCTTCGGGTACAGACCCAGGAAATGAGGGGAAAGGAGGCCCAGTGGCCAGCAGGCATCTGTCGCTATTCTCAGCACTAGAATAAAAGCAAAAGGTAAGAGCAGCAGTACCAGGCGATTGCTTGCCTTGTAGTTGTGAAAAAGAAAGAGGAACAGAGATCAAGACCTGAAGACTCCAGAATCTGTGCCAGAACACGATCCAGAAATCTGACCTCAGTAGCTGTCTAGTCCAACCCATACCTCCATACCTTCTTCAATATATCTGGCTGCTGATGGTCCAGCCTTTAATCAAGAATCACCAAAGACGGACGAATATGCCCAGCATGTTCCAGTTTTGTATAGCTCGGATTGTCAGGAAATTTTTCCTGATATCCAGCCACCTTTGCTTCTCTTTAGCATTGATAATAATGTTAAATGACACCATGCTAAGCACAAATCTCTGTTCCACTCCATCAGAGACCCCCTTCCAATCAATATTGAACCATTTAGAAATACTCTTTCCATGTGTCCATTCAGCTAGTTCTGTATTCATCTTTTCCATAAGCATGTTTTGAGAGACTTTATCTGGGACTTTGCTTAGATCTTTGTAAGCCACATCTAAGAATGGGGCCTTCTACAGTCCTGTTCTCTTTCTTGTCACTGGACCCAGATGGCTGTGGAGGAGAAAGTGAGGCTGGAGACTTGCATAGATCCCTGCCTCACTTCAATCCAGTTCACTTGCAAGTCATGGCATCATCTTCCTGATGTCACGGACTTCTTTGGGAACAAAGGACAAAACAACAACATCTAAGAAAGTAAAATCAAAAATGTTGCGTAAGAACCCCAAGCATCTCAGTAAACTAGGAATGCTCTTTATCTGTAGATCTCCTAATCCAAAAATTGGATTAGGATCAAATAGGAAAAGAAAGTTGAGCCTGGCATTAGTTCTTGGTGAAGCCATGCTATTCTTTTTGGTCTTTGTTTCCTTTTCTAGGTGTTCATTGACCATCTCATTGGCAGTTGGTTCTAGAATTTTGCCAGGTGTTAAAGTAATACTCACCGTTTACACATTCCCTTCTTTGTCCTTAAAAAACAACAACAACAACAACTAAACAAAACCCCAGGACATTCCTTCTTTTCCAGCACTGGGGTACCTCTGCTGTTCTCCTCAGTATTTTAGATATTTTTGCCCATAGCTTAACACTCACATCTATCAGTTCTTTCAGTAGCCACAGATGTAGTTCATTTAGGCTGGGTGACTTGAACAGATACAGTCAGTTGCATGCTGTCTTCCTTTCTCCTTACTTACCCTGGGTATGTGTTTATTCTCTTTGACCTTTTCCAGTTCCATGGTCATTTCTCCTTCCAGAAAGAAAACAAGGCCAAATGAGAAAGGCATATTTCTGATTCTTCTTTTTCTTAGTTACCATCATCCCTCCTCTGATCCCATTGAAATCTACTCTTCCTCAATCTGTTGCATATGTTGTTTTATGTTTGACTTTTCTCTTTTCTGTCACAAACTCTGAAAGGTCACTTTGGTCCAAGCCTCACATTATGTCTCCCACAGCAATCAGTTCCTTTCCTCTTGCTGAGAATCAGACCTATAATGAACCTTCTCTTGTTGGTTTATCTACCTTTTAAACGACTAAATTATCATCAAGGCAAATCAAGAAATTATTAAGCCCTTCTGCTTTGACAGGAAGAGAGCTCTAGGAGATGTCTTGATAAATGAAGTCCTTTATTGAAAGCTCTATATATTTGCCTGAAAGCCATCCTGTATGGCTAGCTTGTCAGATTCAGTTGTACTGAAAAAGAAACACTGTTTGCTTTTTCACTCTTGATCCTCCAGAAGCCATGCGTCCATTATTCTGTAACAGCTATTGGAGGATTCTTGGTGTGGCTTATTTCTACCCCAATTTGGGTGCGTGTTCACTTGTGTACGCCCAGGAAAATGGCACATAGCTCAGTGAAGTTCTCAGAATTGGTAATTATGGAGTACATTCCCTCTTTTAATTCCTTCCTTAGACATTCTGGCCATGCTTTACTTCTGAAAATACCACCCTCCCCCTCCCCCCCAGTGGATGTCTCTTATGTTGGAAAGTAGGGCTTGTTTGTGTTCTTGCTCTTTTTCCCATATTAATCAACAGGTGCTGTGCTAGGTGCTAGGGGTCCAAGTCCAAGGAGGTCACAAGGAGCTTACGTTCCAATGCAGGAGACAAGTATATCTATAAATCTATTTAGCATAAATACAAAGTTAAATAAAGACAGATCTCTACGAAGTAGTGAGGTATGATATAGATTGGGAGGGTGGCTGGGGCCTATCAGGAAAGGCTCCATGCAGAAGATAGTGTTGAAGTGGCATCTTGGAGGTGGAAGTAAGGAGACGGTACGTTCTCAGAATGTTGGGTGACCAGTAGGAAGGCATGAGAACAGGAGGGGCCTGGAGTAGGTCTGTTTGGCTGGATCGTTGAGCAGGTGAAGGAAAACAATATCCAGCGACCCTGGAAAGCTAGGTTTGGGCCAGGTTATTTTGGGATTCAAAATGTTAATGATGGAGTTTATATTGTTTACTGGAGCTTAATGAAAGCTACTGGAGTTGGTTAAGTCAGTGTAGTCATGTGGTCAAAACTTCACTGAAAGGAAATTATCTGTCCTTAAGTGAATTCCTTTCCTAGCAATATATAGGAAGGATTAGAGTCAGGAGAGACTTGAGGAAAGGAGACTATTTGGGGTCCTGTAGCAATACTGTAGGTAGGGGGTGTGAGTGCCTGTACAATGGTGGTTGCTCTGTAAAAAGACATCTGATGTGAGCCGTCTTATGGAAGTAGAAACAGCAAAACTTCCTTAAAAGAATCATTGTTTTGAACTGATAAGTTACGGATGAGCAGATTTTCATCAGGAGCGTATTTTACAGCATCAGGAGTACTGTCGATAAGTGTCAAATTATAAGAAGAAATCTGGAAAATTCTTGGATTCTGTTTTCTTAAATACAGTTTATAGAAAATTCTTCAACAACACCTCTGTTAGAAAACAATTCATGAATGAAATTTTTTTTTTCATTTTTTCTCCCTTTATTTGCCGGGAAGTATTGGGACCAGATGCCATTATCTCAGGGATTTTTGTTTTTGTTTTTGTTTTGTTAAGCTTCAAACCAGCTTTTACACTCTCCTCTTTCACTCTCATCGAGAGACTTCTTAATTCTTCTTCACTTTCTGCCATCAGAGTGGATCATCTGCATATTCTAGATTGTTAATATTTCTCCTGGCACCTTAATTCTGCCTTTGAATTTATCCAGCCTAGCATTTCTTTTTTTTTTTTTTAATATATTTCTTTTTTTTGTTTTCAACATTTACTTCCATAAGATTTTGAGTTCTAAATTTTCATCCCATCTCGCCCTTCCCCCTACCCCAAGATGGTATGCATTTTGAATACCCCTTCCCCTAGTCTGCCTTCCCTTCTATCTCTACCCCCCTTCTCTTATCCCCTTCCCCTTCTATTTTCCTGTAGGGCAGTATAGATTTCTGTACCTCATTTCCTATATTTCTTATTTCCCAGTTGCATGTGAAAACATTTTTTTTTAAACATGTGTTTTTAAAACTTTGGGTTCCAAATTTTCTCCCTTCCTCCCTCCCCACCCACCCTCATTGATAAGGCAAGCAACTAAATATAGGTTATACATGTGCAGTTATGCAAAATACTTCCATAGTAGACATGCTATGAAAAACTAACTCTATTTCCCTTAATCCTATCCCGTCCCCCCATTTATTCTATTTTTTCTTTTGACCCTGTCCCTCCTCACAAGTATTTGCTTCTGATTACTCCCTTTCCCAATTTGCCCTCCTC